TCTTGAGAACATTATTGGTGATTTTGACAACCTCAGTGTTATCTCCAAAAATCAACAAGTCATCGACATATAGATAGATAAGTACACATCCAACGGTTGTGGATTTAGTATATACACATTTGTCACATTCATTGATTCTATATCCATTTTGGATCATCATATGGTCAAACTTCTCATGCCATTGTTTAGGAGCTTGTTTAAGTCCATACAATGATTTGACAAGTTTACACACTTTATGTTCTTGTCCTTTGACCTTAAATCCCTCATATTGTTCCATATAAATCTCCTCGTCGAGATCACCATTCAAGAATGCAGTTTTCACATCCATTTGATGTACCTGCAAATTGTATAGCGAAGCTATAGCAATCAACATCCTAATTGATGTTATTCTCGTTACAGGTGAATAAGTATCAAAGTAGTATAGACCCTATCTTTGTCTAAACCCTTTGGTAACAAGCCTTGCTTTATACTTATCTATGGAACCATCGGCTTTACGCTTCTTTTTGAAGATCCATTTACATCCAATTGGTTTATTTCCTGATGGAAGATCAACCAATTCCCAAGTGTGATTACTTAGGATAAAGTCAATTTCAATGTCAACAACTTCTTTCCAGTAAGGAGCTTCTAGAGTTGATATTGCTTCTTGAAATGTTTGAGGCTCACCTTCTAACATGTATGTCAGAAAATCAGGTCCGAAAGATTTTTCAATCTGCGACCTCTTACTCCTTCGAAGTTCAGCTTCTTCGGCCTCAACTTCCTCATTCTCAAATTCTGAATTTTTAATTCTCTTCCAAGAAGGTTCACCCTGATTTCTTTTCGCAGGATATATATTCTCAAAGAATTCAGCATCCCTTGATTCTAGGATAGTATTGGCATGGATTTCCACATTTTCATATTTGTCAACCAAAAATTTGTATGCATTGATATTTTGAGCATAACCGATGAATATGCAATCCACCGTTTTAGGTCCCAACCGAGTTTGTTTAGGAGGAGGAATCGCCACTTTGGCTAGGCACCCCCACACTTTCAAAAAAATTGTAGGATGGCAACCTTCCATTCCATAACTCATATGGAGTCTTACCTATCCTTTTGTGGAGCACTTTATTTAAAATGTAGTTTGCACTTAACACTTAAAACTGTTTCCCCCCATAAGTTCTGAGGTAAACCTGAACTCAAGAACATGGCATTAGCCATCTCCTTTAAAGCTCTATTTTTCCGTTCAGCAACTCCATTTTGTTGTGGAGTATAAGGTGGGGTACTTTGGAGAATTATCCCCAAGCTAGCACACAACTCCTTCAAATTGGAAGAATTGTATTCCCCTCCTCTGTCAAACCTAAGCACTTTGATTCGACTATTAAGTTGGTTCTCGACCTCATTTTTATACTTGATAAACATGTTCATAGTCTCATATTTGCTAGTTAATAAATAAACATAACAAAATCGAGTACAATCATCCACAAAAGTGATGAAGTACTTCTTTTCATCTCTACTTTTTACAAATTTCAAATCACATAGATCATTATGGATTAGTTGTAAAGGTTCCCTTGTTCTTTCAATTGATTTGAAAGGTTTCTTAGCAAATTTAGCCTCAACACAAGTCTCACACTTGTAACAGGCATCGAACTTAAACCTTGGAATTAGCCCCAAGTTTGCTATTTTCTTCATTGTACCATAGTTTACATGTCCTAATCTACCATGCCATAGATAAGGAGACACAATAGTGTAAACTGAAGACTTCTCTTTATTAATAGCCTTTGGGTACAAGATTTCGAGTTAACATCAATGACAGCCACATTGGCTTTGAACATGTCATTATACAAGTACCATTTCCCTACATACATCCCCCCTTTGGAAAGTACAAACTTGTCAGATTCAAATACAATTTTGAAATCCCTCTTGACAAGTATAGGGCCAGAAATGAGATTCTTCCAGATCTTCGGTACATGCAGTACATTTTGTAGGGTGATCTCCTTGCCGGAGGTGAACTTCAAGATCACCTTTCCTCTCCCAACTACTTTTGCTGATGTAGAGTTAGCCATATAAATCATCTCATCTTTCTCAGCCTTCTCATAAGACGAGAACAGGTGTTTATCCACACAAATATGATTTGTGGCACCTGTGTCCAACCACCAATCAATATTGTTTGACACTAAAGATACCTCAGACACCACCACAGCAATCAGTCTTTCATTATCTTCCCGCTCTGTCAGATTCAACTGCTTGGTTGTACCATCGCCTTTGCCTTTGCTCGAGCACTTCTTGCAATCCTTAGCCCAGTGGCCGGGCTTATTGCAAATAAAATATGTCCCTAGGAATTTATGGGACTGTTCATTCTGCTTGCCTTTTTCTTGAAAGGACTTCTTCCTCTTCCTATCTTGCTTGGAATCGGAAAACTCCACAGTGTTGGCCTTCGGTTCCATAGGATGGCTTGCATTTCTCCTATTGTCCTCCTCGATTCTAAGGCGCAGAATGAGATCTTCAAGGCTCATCTATTTCCGTTTGTGCTTCAAATAATTTTTGAATCTGACCAGCACGGAGTCAGCTTCTCAATAATAGCTGCCACTTGGAATGATTCACTAAGTATCATTCCTTCAGCAAAGATGTCGTTCAGAATTATTTGCAATTTTTGAACTTGATTCATGACAAATTTAGAATCCACCATTTTGAAATCCAAGAACTTGGCAACCACAAATTTGTTGGTGCTCGCGTCCTCAATTTTGTATTTCTTTTCTAAGGACTCCCATAACTGTTTAGCAGTTTCAATATTACAATAAATATTATATAGAGAATTTACCAAACAGTTAAGGATATAGTTTCGGCATAGAAAACCCCCATGCTTCCAAGCCTGCAATGCCCCAAGCGTCGCGACATCTTGCTCATCTGGGCTAATTATCAGGCACACCTCCGATAAATATTTGACTAGATTCAACGTGGTCAAATAGAAGAACATCTTCTTCTGCCACTGTTTAAAGCCCATGCCGGCGAATTTCTCCGGTTTCTCATTCGGTATTACTGGAGATGGTACCATCAAATTAGGCAAAGCCTGTTGAACCATCCCGCCAGGAATTGAACCATACGCCATTTGGCCTATACTATTGTGAAAAATAGTCCCGGGTATATCAGCCAAACGACTTGCACCCGTACCACCATAGATGGTTTTAGCTCGAAGCCTCGCAACATTTGCTGCCACAACACCAGGCCACGAGGTCTGAATCTCACAAGTTGAAACGACCATAGGAATGTCTCCAAAAACATTCTGGACATCATTGGATACTTTATTGTTATCAGCTATCTCGATTTTATGATAAAAACAACAGACAGTAAGTTAATTGCCTTAAGATTGTTATCAAAAAATAGAAGAACAAAATTACGTAACACTGTTTGTTGTAATCAGAATAAATTCGAGAAAGTGATAAAAGTAAAACAGGAGGTGAGGTACGGCTAGCCGAATTTCCTTAAAGCAATTAGTTCCTGCCAACGGTGTTAAGCAGCTTCACGAACTATGCCTCTCAAGATACAACACCTTAAACCTGTTTGTATCGGCACTATACGAACAGTACTCTATCGAACACTTCTTAAAATCGGCACACTTAAGGAATATTATTGAAGAGAAAACTCAAGAGACGCTCTAGAAGTATTTCGAGGAATTCTTTCTCTATATCTCCTTTGACCTAAGAAGACACGTCTATTTATAGACGAGAGAATACAACGGTTACACGTGCACTAATGTTGAGCCACTAATGTCATAATGGTTACACTTGCACTAATGTCATAACGGTTACACGTGCACTAATGTTGAGCCACTAATGTCATAACGGTTACACGTGCACTAATATTGAGCCGTTAACACGTAACGGTTACAACAATACATTGTAAGACCTACGGCAACAAATACATACGATCGTAATTATGTACACATACTACAGTACATGAGTCTATTATGAGAAACCCTAGATGCATTTACGTGGAAATATGCATGTGGTTGCATTGGATCATGCATATGTGCTTATGTGTGTCATCAAACTTTCTCGGCATTGCTCTACGAGGTAGTACTAGTCTCCGATGTGGCATTAGTGTCGCTCGAAGGATACCCAACTCCGTTGTGCGTGCTCGGGAACAACGTGAACAGCATGCTCAAGATCGAGCTGATCACGCTCGGGCCATGAACCCACCAAGATACCTTGTCACAATTGGGTTGTCAAAGAAAAAAGCCCAAAAAAAAGATGATAGATTTTGTGCTAGTATTCGTGTAAAGGAAATCCAAGTGAAAAGGCTACAATCATTTTTCTCAGAAATTTTTCTAGCAATATCATGATATGAGTTTTTGTTTTTCGAGAATTTATTTTGCTAGGTATCAATTGGTCAAATCAACATTTAATAACCTGTAAATAGGATTCTAGCAAAGTCTCCAAAGTGTGAAAGAATTGAGTCGATTGGGAAAGTCAAGTACACATCAACCTCATGAGATACGTAAGATCAAAGGGAAAGACAAACTAGAAGCTTCAATATATTTTATAGAACATGAGACTCAATCGCCCCAAGTAACTAATTGATTTAGGAAATTGCTAAATGATAGTTTTTCCATCAAGGAGTAATTATTAAATAAATTTGTTCGACGTGCTAAAACGAATGTGCATAGTTAGTGTCACGCCCCGAACCCTACAGCACGCGACGTCCCTTCTTCGGTCGTATCGAACACGACGTCCCAGGACTCGTCGCCGACCCAAAACCCCGAATCAGAGAATATCCACACGCGGAAACGATCACACACCCATACAATAAATAAATATGACCGAGATAGCAACGGAAGACAAACACAGTAACATACTTCATAAACACATACTTATATTAAACAAGAGAGAATCTACAACATCCATTTGAACTTAAGTATACATAGGCCAAAAATGGGTCAGCAAGCCACCATCATCAAAAAGGGCGGAGCGGCTGGGTACTATATCCAAAAAGGGCTCCCTTCAAAAAGTGTCGGCCCTAAACGCTAGCTACGCTCTAAGATAATCCCTAGGTGGTATCCAATCCGAGTCGGATCCAGAAGACTCGGATGAATCGTGGAACGACTCGAACTCGGAATCCATAGACTCGGGCTCGGACTCGACCTCCAACGGCTCCTCCTCGGGATCATCCTCGGGCTCCGGCACCTCTTCAGGGTCCTCCTCATGCTCTAACTCTAACTCCATCGGCTCCGGATCGGGATCGGACTCCCACTCCATAATCTCCTCATCTGATTCTATAATGACGGGCCGTGGATCAGAATCCGCCTCGGACACAGAATCGGGGCTCACTACCTCCCCATCAGCTGCCTGCGAGTCCCACTGACCTAACCCGTCGATCGGAACGTCAAAAGTCCTAAGAGGTCTGTAAAAGCCGAACTGGTCCCAAAAGCACCAACCAAGGTAAGGATGGGCCTTGGGCTGTGACCCGCCCTCGTCGACCCATACGATGGTGTAATATATAATATAAGCCTCCCCGTTCCAACCGGGGTACTCAATCACCGAACGCTCTATATGGTCCGGGATCCCAAAACGTAGCGGTACGCTGGCCATCCTCAAGGTCGGGGGTCTGAAATGTTGGGGTTACAACAGTGAGAACGAACCTCAGTAAGTAGGCCCCCTTAAACCTAACATAGGCTAACATACACCTCCAGACAAGTAACTATCCAATCACACAATTGAGTAAATCAGACGACTTAGGCCCTCGGGCCCAAATCAAGCGCATAATCGACCCTGCAGGTGAGGCACACAATAATAATACAGAAACTAGTCATAGCACATACATATTATCACTTGGCCACGAACACTTGTCATTCACACACTTGCACTCAATAATGCACAATTCGCACACGTGCCAATTTCCAATTAATCTCCAACCCGTGTTAAACGCATCAGGTCCATCACTGCTCGGGACTCGCGTAACACGCCTCAAGTCCATGACACAACCCACGTGAACGATGCCTCAGGTTGGCCATCATCCGGTAAACCGGGTATCATCCCGCGTTAACCGCCTCAGGACGGGTTCAATACCCCGCATTAAACGCATCAGGGCTTATGTGACCACACGTACACACTTTACTAATTATTATCTGAACCCCGCGTAAACGACGCCTCAGGGCATTTTAGGTGATCACATGCTAAATGAGCTTCATGCAAACTCACATGGTTTACATATTATGCCATCACTCAATATGCACAAAATCATGGCCATATCATCCAGAAATCGGGGCATCAATTGAATCCACATTATTCACTCAATCCAACATAACAACATGCTCAATTCGCCGTTCAAGATAATTCAGCCACGGTCCACAATTTGGCGCACAAAAATTATACTATTAAGTCATTGAAATCACACATGCCTATGGCCCACAATGTCCCTCATTCCTCGGCCATATCAAGCACCCACTAAAACATCACAACATCACACAATTAATTCAAGCCATGCATGATTCAGCCATTTCATGGTCCAACCATAGCACACATAGCAATCCACATTTAAACCATAGACTAACAACATATAGTCCAATCAAGCCGACACTTCTCAATCATAAAGCAGCCCACTATATGCCTCTAATCCACCTTTAAAATAGCACATTAGGCTACCGAAATCACCTCACCATCAGCCCTAATCATCAGCCATTAACTAACCCCTAAATCTCCCTAATAATCCCTAAACTTGCTTAAAAATACACAAAAGCCTAATTAGGGTTTAGGGTTTCCACTCACACTTAGTCCTAAGTAAACAAGGCTGAGCAAGGGGACAGCAAGGGCGCCAGACGAGCGGCAGCAGCAACGCCGGGGCAGCAGGGCACTCCCGGTGGTCGCGGCTCCACGGCGGAAACGGTTGGCTGGGCGGCGGCAAACCAGGTGCTGGTTGTGGCAACGGCAGCGTACGGCGGTGGGGGTGAGGCTCCGAGGTGGTGCCGAGGTTGCCAGTGCCGGAAGAGGGAGAGAGGGAGGGTCAGACGGTGGTTGGCGGTGAGACTCGCTAACAGGGGAGCAATGGCGGTCGATGGTGTGGACGGCAGTTCTCGGGCGGCGGACGGCCACGGCGGGTTGGGGGTGGCGACGTACAAGGCGGCTGGTGGTGTTGGTCGGAGGTGGTGGCGTCGGTGTTGGTCGAAAGGGGAAGAACGGGAGAGAGAGAGAGAGAGAGAGAGAGAGAGAGAGAGCTCTGCGGTGGGGAAAAGAACGGGAAGCAGCAGCAGCAGCGGGTCGCCGGACGGCTAGACGAACGGCAACGGTGCGACGATGGCACAGCTGGACATGGCGGCTGCTGGCCGAGCAAGGCGACGCGCAAAGGGGGAGGGGGGAGGAGCTCGGCCGAAGGTGAGGGAGAGAGTGGGGGTGAGAGAGTGTGAATGGGGAGAGATAGAGAGAGAGAGAGAGAGAGAGAGAGAGAGAGAGAGAGAGAGAGAGTATTATAAAATTGAGTGGGTGGGGATTGGTCAACCAACTTGCTAGAATGACAATCCTACCCTCACCACTATCTAGCTCATCCAAGGGTCACAATTCAAGCACACATCAAGTCTCACTAGATCCAAAGGCCACAAATGGTCAACCCCACTATCACCAAGGGGCAAAAAAGGAAAGAGAGCAAGAGGGAGAGGGGCATTTCGGGGGGGCTTCCCAATGCCCAAATTGCCCTTCTTGATTCAAATGAGCACACTTAATCCTAGGGGCAAAACGGTCATTTTCCACACCCGAACCAAATTGTACCTTTCCGACAATTCCAAGCGATAACGAGGTTGGCCACGCGTCTTGCGATGTCATCCAATGTATTAGTCTTATACGTTCGTGAAATTCGACACTCAAGTTCGGAAATCAACTCAACGATCCATTTCGCTCAATTGCGATTTTAGTGTCTCTTACTAACGGGCGGCTTTTTGGGGGCTACGCGTATCGACCTAGGGTTACTCGAGTCATGGTGGCCTTGATTACCAAGAAAACGTGAGGGTCCATCACTAGTTCCGAAGGTCGCAATCATTCGGAATAAGTTTTGGGATTGTTCGTCACGCACACAATCGGTCATGCGGAATCACCCGCGGTTCGATCGTACGTCGCTGGCAAATCAATCCGCACCCTTCCTTGGATCGGCCCACATTGGCCCAAAATATTCCCTCATCGTTCCTCGGAATCGAAGGTCAATTCGCGGTCGAGTTCTTTGGTCCACGTACCGTTTTCCCTAGTTAGCCATTCCCTATTGGTTAGTATCCCGAGAGTGATCAGTTTCGGGCGAGACTTACTAAAACGAAATGAGAAATACACATCAATTTCATTAATCACGAAAGTGAGTCGAATTCACAAGTGAATCTGCGTGATTGTAATGATCTCATAAATTCGAAGTTAAGAATTTATCTGATGTACCATTTATTTTTGGCTTTATACATTTTCCCGAATCTAAAATTTTACGTATTTTGACTGTTCTGTTTTTACTTTTTCTTGTTTATTTTGAGGTACGTAGACCCGATCTGAGCTATCCAATTCGCTTGTTGCTGATGTACTCGGATCTTAAGGGGTAACGTCATCTAACTTAAAAAAGAAACTAATTTCAGAAAATCCGAATCCTTGAAATTAAATTTGGGCTGCCATAAATGAAGCTGAATATGATTGATATATACCACCCGTGATGACAAACTAACCAAAAGACATTGATAAATAAATGAATTCCACTACAAATAGATCAGATCTACCGATACACTGTAAGATCTACAGCAACAAATACGTATAATCGTAATTATGTACTCATCCTAGAGCACATGAGTCTAACATGAGAAACCCTAGATGCATTAATTTGGAAATATGCATGAACTTGCATTGTATCATGCATATGTGCTTTTGTGTGTCATCAAACTTTCTCGGCATTGCTCTCCGAGGTAGTACTAGTCTCCGAGGTGGTACTAGTGCCACTTGAAGGATACCCAACTCCGTTGCGTGTGCTCGGGAACAACGTGAACAGCGTGCTCGAGATCGAGCCGATCACAGTCGGCAGAACCGTGATCAAAGTCTTCTCCGTATTCTCGAAAGACGGATAGAAGCACTTCACGGTGTTCGTGTCCAACAACGCCAGAACTGCAAAAATAATCACCGACAAGAAAGCATGGACAAAGTCCGAAAACCGAAGCTTATACCCCGACGAGCTCGTGGAGCTACCGGAGCTCGAGCTAGGCCAGATGCCCTTGGCCGTGGCGAACCCATAGTGGGTTGACCCATCCGTCCCCTTGTAGCTGTCGGTGAAGCTAGCCACAAAACATGAAATGCCACAAACTGCGATCAGAATGGCGCTTAGGTACTTGTTATAAGTGTGGCACTCGCCGTTCTTGGTCAGAAGAGGGTTGAGGAATTGAAACAAGAAGACGGTCCCGGTCGGAAGGAGCTTGATAATGTTGCCTAGTCCGGTGTATGCGCTGCTGCTACTGCTGCTGCTGCTGCTGCTGCTGGTGCTGCTGCTGCTGCTGCTTTGTTGCTGAGAATTGGTAGTGGAAGATTGGGAAGAGATCTTGTTTCCCATTTTTTTTACAATGCTAACTAACTTTTGAAAAATGAACAAGCTGCCTAGGATTGGGGGAGGCATTTGGGATTGTGTTTTGTGTCTTGAAATGACCTCAAGTTTGGGTATTTATAGGCGGAGCGAAGTCGGGTACGAGGAAGTTGCATGGACGGAAAATCATACGAATTGGCACTGTTTTAAAGTGAGAAGGTCTTGGCGTTCCATTCTTAGATAGTTGACCAGATTCAGTCCAACCCAATTTTCTGGTCGAAACGGTTGAATCTTATGAAGAGCAAACAGTTCTTAATCGCGTTTTGGAAAGTTGACCAAATGTGAGAAGAGGAGAGGTTAGAGATACGCAAAGTGAAATCCATTATCAAAGAATGATAATTTTAACTTGTCACAAGAAACAAGGATCGGAAATAGAGGCCACGCTTTGTCTGGCAACTATATTTAGTTCGACACTATTTTGTAGTTTCGAATATTTCCTAACTCCAAACTATCTGTTGTTGGGCCTTTTGAGTATCTCCAAACCTAATTAACCAAAAGCGCACTATGTATAGATAACAGTGGCAAAGAAAAACACGAAGTGATTATGCAAATGGTCGTGCTACTTTTCCATCCTTGATTAGAGGAAATGTTTTTCAACCATGACTCTGATTGGTAGGTTACAAAAATAAGGATCACCTGCTTTAACTTTAGTTTAAGTTTGCATTTGGGTGATATTGATAACAACCAATTATGATAAGAATATAGTCTCAATAGGCTTCCATAAGGTGAAGAACGTGCTTCTATGACTATAACCTTCTCTTTTATGAAAGGTTACTTGCCAAAGTGATGGAACCCTGTTGAATCTTCCTACACCCATCCTATGGTTCTATCTCTTGTGCAAGTTGTTGCATGGATCATGTACATGTGCACCCACAATCAATCTTTAAATTCACACAATTTTCCTTGTGGCCCCTCACACGTTTGGGGAATGTGCATTCACCCAATTGTATTCTAATTCGGGCTATATTTTCCTTCCTCTTGGTCAAAGAAAACCTTTCTCCCACCATACATTTAATTGGTGGATTAAAAATTATGGACATCATCCACATATAAACTTAACTAAATATAAATGTGAGACAATATACGTATTTGTTACCCACCAATCAAAAGAATATGGTTGGAAGAATGCATGACCCTTTTAGCTTTTTTCAATCGGAGTGTTTCCAATTGTACCACCAAGCATGGTTAACCCAGTGCTTCTCGCACTCACTATCTTTCACAAAGCCACAACCATTTGAACCTTAAGGATACAATGAATACTGTAAGGAGACATGTCTACTCTCATGTAAAGAGAGTTGTAGTCTGTCAGCATGCTCCAGTTCAATATTAAGCTGGCTAGCCTCGGACTATAAAATCATGAACGATGCTAAGTAGTCATGCCTTAAATCAAAAATTCCGCAGGATTGCTAAGGCCTCTTGCTGCTCCTCATTCTTTTAACAAGGACGAAAAGAG